TTTTGTTGCCAGTTCAGAGAGTCCAGGTGGTTTGAGTATCAGAGTGTTCCATCTTGTTTCCCTTTGGGGTTGTTGTAGGTGATCCAGAAGTCTGTTTTTGAGGCTTGTTTGTGTGTCTTCTCATTTCCATGGCAGGGGGAGTGGTGCTTCTGGTGCCCACTTCTGCCCTAGGAGCTTGGGATGGCAGCGGGGGAGCTTTCTTCCGGGTGCTGGGACCGACTGAGCTTCACTGCCCTAGGAGCCTGGTATGGCAGTGGGGGAGCTTCCTTCTGGGTGCTGGGACCGGCTGAGCTTCACTGCCCTAGGAGCCTGGGATGGAGGTAGGGAGCTTCCTTCTGGGTGCTGGGACTGGCTGAGCTTCACTGCCCTAGGAGCCTGGGATGGTGGTGGGGGAGCTTCCTTCTGGGTGCTGGGACCGGCTCACCCTCTCTGCCCTAGGAGCCTGGGATGGAGGCGGGGAGCTTCCTTCCCTGGTAATGCAGTTTTTAAAACCTAATAGGTTGTGATATTTCTTAGACTACAAATAAAGAAAACAGGTGCTTATATACAATTGTTTTAAAAATGAGATTTCTCCATTAAATGCAATGGTTGATTGTTGGATACCAATGAGTATGATTACATTTGCCTTCTGTAAAAGACACTTGACTATTGTTATTTCTTTTGAGATGGTTGGCAGTATTTACCAGTCTAGATGGCATAGAGAAGTTTTACCTATAAAAGCCATAGGAAGGGTGAAATGAGCAACCAAGTGCTTCCCGGGTAATGGGGTTTGGTAGAAAAATGTTGCCAGGTGACTGTATTCCATATAACATTTGATTGGCAGAATGAGCTGCTTGAAGGCATTGCTCATTGAAGTCTTCAGATGAACCAATTTTTGAATTGGTAACCCCTAAGGAAGATAACGTAGGCACTTCCATCATGAGTGGGGCTAAAGATTGAGAACAGTTGCTGCTTGACAGTTTTTCAGGAGCAGGTAGGACAAGAGGTTGCTGTCGCCAAAAATTAGTTGGGCAAATCTTGTAGCAAAGGGGCAAGTTAATGTTGTGCAAGAATGCCTCTGGACAGGTCATTCCAAGGGAGCTTGTACGTAAGTGAAATGTAGGTGGAGAGCAAGGTGGAGAAAGTAAGGAGTTCAAAGGAGAGGGAGCCCCTCCACTAGAGGTCACTGGAGATGAGCCACTGCTTCCACCTGTGAATGATAATTCAGTCAATGAACAATGAACTTGATATTCTTGCTGAATCAGTATTATGTAAATCACTATTCCTGTTTTATGCCAGATTAGATTTCCTTGCAAATTCACATTTCTTTCAGCTTCCATGGGAAAAGACATGTTAATTCCTCTGACTGAAGTTGAATAGTGTCTGTATTACTACTATCATTATTACTTTTGCTACATACTGTGTATCATATAATGAACATTCACTATGATCAAGGACTATATTAGACAAGTGAACCATATTTATCCAGTGAAGTACTATAGAAGAATCCCAATTAGCGGAGAACAACGCTCTGTTGCCTGTAATTCCAGCCACTTTGAGTGCTGAGTTGGGAGTACTGCATGTGAAGGCCAGCCTGGGCAATTTATTGGGACCTCTTCTCAAAACAAAAAAAGAATAATCCCAATTATATGACTCAGTCAATAATACCTTATGAAAAAATAGATGTGTTTTGTTTTGTTGAGAGAGGGTCTTGCTTTAATTCAGGCTAACTTTGAACTCACTATGTAGACCAGGCTGGCTTTCAATTTGTGGCAATCCTCCTGCCTCATCCTCCCAAGTGATGGTATTACAGACAAGCACCACCATGCCCAGATAAATTAGCTTTTTGTATTTAAATTTTTAAAAATTATACTTAAATGATGTAGTTAAAATAATTGAAGAAATCATTTGTGATTCGATAAACAACTTCAACGTGATAAAAATAATTCCTGAAAATATTATTGCATAAATGAGATTATATTTAAAACCATTAGCTTTTTTACTTATACAAAAATCATGGATGGCAAGACTTCTATGGTTCACTACATCAAGAGCTGAAGATAAGTTTGCAAGTTAAGAAATATTAAGGTAAAAATGAAAATATTCAGATTTTGTTATCCAGGGATCTGTTATGGTTGCCCAGCATCTACTAAAATTAGGGATAATTATAAGGTCTAGGAAAGTCTAGCTTTTAGATCTTATTTTTGTAAACATTTGAATTCAATTAGACAATTGGTTATGGACCAGATTTGATGAATATGTAGGGGAGTTGGTGTTACAATTTTTAAGATTTTTTTTGTATATAGATACAGCCTAGTCTTTCATCAGCAGAGTAGCAAGTATATTGATATTCCTCTTTTTACAATTTGAGCACATTCTGGACATCTTAAATGATTAAGAAAACAGTGAATTTTAAATTATCAATTAATTATAATCTTTAACTTTTAAAATTGATGCACATTACAATGACTTGGATATTTTAAAAGAGTGCTACCTATATTCTATTAGTTAAATTGATATTGTATAATAAGTGTTCAAATATTTTATGCAATTCCTGAAACTATATCAATACAGTCAAGACAGTGAGATGGTTCAACAAATGATTAGACTTGATTTTTTCACATTTCAATTGGTTGATACGGTATCATACAAAATTCAAACTAAGAATAATATAAATGATCTGATCTGATTAGTGTTCAGACATGGAACTCTAATGGAGTAAAGGCAAAAGGAAAAAAAACTTCATACTTCTTTTTTTTTTTTTTAGTAATGGGGATTGAGCTCAGGTCCTTGCTCTTGAGCAGCAGGTGGTGAAACCACTGAGCTAAATCCCTAGCCCCAACTTCATACTTCTTGCAAATAAAAATTCTTCTACTTATTGTTAAATATCAGAGTAAAAGAAAGTATACATTATTTTACCCAAAAGTTTGCTTTATCTAATTTTTTGGTACTGGGGATCAAACTCGGGTCCTTGCGCTTGCACAGCAGGCAGTGAAACCACTGAGCTAAATCCCCAGCCCTCACTTTAAAAGATTTCTTTTCAACTTCTTTTAAAGAGCTATACTCTATTCTAGAGTCTAACCTAGGGTGGCTTTTGTCTTGGTACAAATGTTGTATTTCGATAGTTTTAAGTGTAGAGTGTCAGAGTTCCCCATGTTGTTCTGCTGAACTCATTCTGATTTTTGGGTCCCCACCACATAGTCTTCTTTGAGAACCACTAACAAGCCAGCAGGGATATGGTCTGGGGATCTTAATCATCTTCCCTATTAGGGGGAGCTCACATACCATTTCCCCCTGAAATTTGAGAAGCTCTAGGGAGGACCCCCATTCAGGGAGTGGAGCATGAAATCTGTCACTCTCTGCCACCCCAACTCATTATCTTCCTGGGTTGATTTTTCAGAGAAAGGGGACTTCCTGGCTTTGGACCTTGGAGGAACAAATTTCCGGGTCTTGCTGGTTCGTGTGCGGAATGGGAAGCGGCGAGGAGTGGAGATGCATAACAAGATCTACTCCATCCCACAGGAGGTCATGCACGGCACTGGGGAGGAGGTGAGGCAGGCTGGTACCCCATGAGGGCTCAGTAGACTTCTTGGCTTCAAGGACAGCACTGTCTCTGCTCAGCCGTGGTCCTAGTGGGGCCATGATGACAGTCTGGTTTCTCCTTGAGTCTGGGGTTAAGCTGAACTTATGTTTCTTCTGGGTAGAAACCTTGAACTTGGGCTTAGTACCTGCTGGAGGCAGCCTGCCCTGGCCAGAGCCCATCTCTCAGCACCCCAACCTCTCCCTGCAGCTCTTTGACCACATTGTCCAGTGCATCGCTGACTTCCTGGAGTACATGGGGATGAAGGGTGTGTCTCTGCCTCTGGGTTTCACCTTCTCCTTCCCATGCCAGCAGAACAGCCTGGATGAGGTAACACTGCCCTCCTGGAGCACTTTCCAGGGACTTTTATTGACTAAATGAGCCCAAGTTTGGAGCTGGGGAGAAAGCTGAGCTGAGAGGAAGGAAAAGAGAGCTCAAGTGACCATTAGGAGGGGGGCTTCCTGGTGGGAATGAGTTGATCAAGGCTGATGGAAGTTAAGTAGGTTAGCTTGGCTGCAACAGTTGTTGGGATAATAATGAAAACAATGATCAAATTAAAATATTACTCAAAAATTTTAAGCACTTTTTGCCATGTGCTATGTTGGCTTCCTGTGTGCACGATCTCCTTTAATCCTCACAGCAACCATATAAGATAGTTGTTTGTAGATCCATATTATCTGGATGTGGGTGTGTAAGCCAGGGCTCTGTAGGGATGTGCTTTGTTCTTCTGAAACTCATGACACATCCAGGTTGATAAAATGCCAAGCTGACGGGCATAAAGCACTGAGCAAGTGCTGGAGGCACTGTGCAAGTGGGTGGTAGGGAGCACACAGATTACTAGCAAGTTCTGGCCTCTTAAAAAAGGATCTGGGTGTACATGAAGCTGGCTCCTCATGGCTGCCAAGTTATACTATCCTGCTCGTTACGGCTCAGGTCATTTTTGTTGTCTCCTGTTGTGGATCCTCTGGGTCTTCTCTGGTTCTACCTTTGCTTCCCATTCCCCTTCAACTTAGGTTGGGTGGATGAAACAGGTGGATACAGGTCTGGTGCTCCCAGATGTTCTGTCCTAAGAAGTAAAGGATTGAGTAGGCAGTGGTTGAGCCTGGGCTATTGACTTAGGCCTGAGAGCTCAGTTATTTGAGTGGTTTACTCTTTTTGTCAGTCATGTAGAAGAAGCCCACATGCATGCCATGGGTGTATGGTTTGCTGTGGATGCAGTTGCCAGTAAAGAAGGCGTGGTTGCTGCCTTAGATACTTTCAGATAAATTGGGCTGATGAAGTAAGCTCAGAAAAGTACAAGCTGCATTTGGAACATGCATTAATGGGATGCTGCAGAGCCAAGGACATGGAGCACACACCTGTAGGACACCAGAAGAATGAGGAGTTCGTGGAAAAGTCAGGAGAAAGTTGTTTTGCAAAACTTTTCTTTAAAAATAATAATCTCATAATATACACAAATATAAAAAATGATTAAGAGGAACATGAAGTATGACACTCCAGTATATATTCTTCCAGGGCTTTTCCTACTAAATTTCATTTTAAGCAGACACTATCTTTTCACATCAACATGTGTATATACCCTTTATCTATTTATCAGGTGAACTGGAAGAACTGTTAATTGTTTCTATGTGAATCATAAGATTCCAGGTCATTCTGTTGGATTTTATTCTGTATGTTTCAATTATTTTGTAAGAAGCACATGTAAGTCCGGAATCATAAGAAGGAAGAGCATAGCGGGAGGCAGTTCCGTCTGTCAGCTCTGGTGAGCTCATCCTGCTCATGAAGGGTCAGCAGGTGAGGTGCCGAAGAGACCTAGAGGCCCAGGGGCATCCAGCTGCACTTTAGCATCACTAGCCTTGTGCAGTCTCCTCAGCTGTTGGGACCTGTTTGTCTTATTACAAGGATCACTTGAGTGATGTTAATTTGAACATTCTATAGACTTCTATTTGTTGTCTGGTGCTGAGAATGGAACCCAGGGCCTTATGCATGCTAGGTAAGTGCTTGTTCACCGAGCTACACCCCCAGCCCTTGTAAACTTTGAAGTGTCAAATACAAACCTTTGCCAGAGAAGTGAAGCTAACTTGTAGACAAGAGAGGTAGGTGGAGATAAACACTCCCTTGTCTGGATGTGGATGTTTAAACTAAGGGCTTCACAGGGATGTACTTTGTTCTTCTAAATCTCCTGGGATACACCCAGGTTGATAAAGTGCCAGGCTCATGGGGATGAACCACCAAAGAAGTCCTGGAGATGGAAGTGGGTGGCAGTGAGCACACAGCATACGGGTGAGTTCTGGCAAAAGGATCTGGAGATGCCGGTGCTGGTTCCTGATGGGTGCCATAGAATAGAGGGTCTCAGGAAACAAACACCTCTCTCAGGTGCAAAGCCATCAGCATCTGCTCCCCAGACGATCCTGTGACATTGTGAAGGACCACATTAAAGACAGGTGCAAAGAGGACTCTGCAGATGGTGGAGAGCTTTCCTCTCTGAGAAATGTAGGGTGGTAGCAAAGTCTAGACATCTTTTCAGCTATGGCAGGGGCATTTACTTACTGAATATTAGAGTGTCAAAATTAAGAGACATACATGACCTTTCTGACAAATGACAGGGACAGGGTAAACTGCTTTGCCCAGTGAAGGAAACAAGTGTGTAGGGGCATTTATTTGCTCAGTGCTATGAGCCCATTCATGGGTGTCTGTATGCCTGGAGGTGAGTTCTTCTCCTGACTTCAAACTGCATGTCTCAGACAGGTTACATCAGTGCCTCAGTTACTTGTCAAGTGGTGTGATTGTGGTAAGTGTTCTACAAGGTGGCTGTGAGGATTAAATGTTGTGCTGTGCTTAGCCCACTATGTAGTGCACAATAGATACTCAGTAAATCCAAGTGAGTACCTAAGAAACAGGTTTACGATCCTCTGTAGGTGAGATTTTTGGTAATTCCAGGGAATCTGTCTGATCCGTGAGGTTGAGGTCTAGAAGCATAGCCAGGCTTCCGGAATGACGCAGGAGGCCTTCTCTGATGTTTTCTCACCATGCATATGTGAATTTTAGAGCATTCTCCTCAAGTGGACAAAAGGCTTCAAGGCATCTGGCTGTGAGGGTGAGGACGTGGTCACCCTGCTGAAGGAAGCAATCCACCGGCGAGAGGTAGGGGAGACACAGTGTGAGACCTCCTGTGTCAATTTCTTTATCTTGAAGCGAAACATGGGTGCAACATTGAGTTGTTGTTTTGGCTGGAGGAAAATTAACTTAGCCACTTAACAATGGTTGAATGTCCCCTATGCCTTAAGCTCTGCTCTGGGCATAGGGATTCATGAGTGACCACAACAAGATCTAGCTCAATAATCAAAAGCCCATGACCCAGTGGTGGGTGCTATCAGGGCTATGAAAAAAAAATGAAATGGATGAGAAGAGCAGGCAGGGAAGCAACAATCTTACTAGCACAACTGGGGACCAGGTCTCTGAACAGGTAACATTTGAGCAAAGACTTGAATGAGATGAGAGAATGACCCATGATATGAGTTATATTTTATGCACATATAAGTCTCCCTTACAAATGTCTGACAGTTGAATATTGGCGTTCATTTGTGGACTAGATATCTGCTTCTGCCCTCTCAGGAGTTTGACCTGGATGTAGTTGCAGTGGTGAATGACACAGTAGGAACTATGATGACCTGTGGCTATGAAGACCCTCACTGTGAAGTTGGTCTCATTGTTGGTAAGGCACCAACCACCCTTCCCACATGGTGATGCTCAGTGTCAGATGGGTGGAAGGCAGGTGTGAGCAAGATGCCCTTGTGATCGGCAGGTACTGGCAGCAATGCCTGCTACATGGAGGAGATGCGTAACGTGGAGCTGGTGGACGGAGAAGAGGGGCGAATGTGTGTCAACATGGAGTGGGGGGCCTTCGGGGACAATGGATGCTTAGATGACTTCCGCACAGAATTTGATGTGGCTGTGGATGAACTCTCCCTGAACCCCAGTAAACAGAGGTAGGCACGCAAATGTGTGGGCCACACAACTCAGAACTGGCCTGCAACTAGTGATTGAGTGATCAGAGCCTTCACCATATAGTCCCCAGGATGCTTGTTCTGTTGAGTTGCTAATGGATTTTCTTGAAAGGGTTTCTTGTCAAAAATACCTGGAAAATTCTGAATTAGCAAATATAAGCAGCCCTCCACCTGGAGGCCTTGGAGAACGGGCAGGAGAGCATCGGAATCCAGGTCTTGAGACTCTGAGGGACAGCAAATGGAAAGTGAGACCACCTGCTGCCCTGGGGAGAAGCACTGCTGGGTTAGCCCTTGCAGGAGCTAATCCTTTTCAGCCATCCAGCATCTGGTGTGCCCTCTGTTGCCAGAGTCACAACACCCCATGGATAGTGGTGGTGTGGCAGTGGGAGGTTTCAGCTGAGGGATTGTAAGCTCTAGCACATAGCCCATTAGGAAGATGTTATCTGTAGGGTTTCCTAACTGGATTAATCAGGGACCCTAGTCCTACAGAATGTACTTTGCAAAACATTTGTCTACCATACAGTTCCCAGACTAAATAAAATATCTGTGGGAAGAGGCTGTAGTAAGGTAAGATGGGGCAGTGTCCAGGTTTTGGTTAACACTGGGGATTTTGACTTTGTGAAGGGCACTATTCAGGATCAAAAGACCCTCAAACCATGTCATAGTCACCTCCAGCTCCAGTGACCAGCATGAGGATCTGCAGCGGGGACTAGCTACTTGAGAATACTGGTCAGGTCCAACAGAAAGCATGCTACCTGCCTAGTGGAATTAAGGATTAAGACTCAGCGAGTGTCCCTCCCTGCTGCTGGAAGTGTGGTGGAGTTCTGGGGTGTGTTCCTGAGGAGTTGGAAATAAGCCCTGAAAAGGAAATGAGCCTAGATGGTGGGGCCAATGCCAAGAAGCCCCATGGGCTTTGGGTACCATGGTTAGGTGGTGGATCAGCATGTGAAGCCACCAGGAATCCTGCCCAAGTGAATTAAGTGGCATCTTCCCCACTAGGGGGAGGCTGCTGCTCTCTACTTTGTCCCACCACCTTCCTGCTTAACCTCTGTGAATGTTACACATGTTGCAGGTTTGAGAAAATGATCAGTGGAATGTACCTGGGCGAGATTGTCCGCAACATCCTCATTGATTTCACCAAACGTGGGCTGCTATTCCGTGGCCGCATCTCAGAGCGGCTCAAGACAAGGGGAATCTTTGAAACCAAGTTCCTGTCTCAGATTGAGAGGTATGAATTTTGGGGCTGATGGAACTGTGTCCTCCTTTTTTTTCATGGACAGACAAACTGAAGGAATTCCACAGCTCAAGTGAGCTTAGGGTGTGGCTTAGACAAAGGTCAGTTTAGTGGTTAACACATTGGTGGATAACTTTCTCTTGAAAGTTTATGTTCAGTGTGGCATGAGGCCATGAAATGTGATAGCGTTGGAATTTAGACCAAATATCAAAGCTAGAAAGAAACCTGCTTATAGGATGTATGTTGAAACACACAGGAAGAAAACCAGACAATGTGTCCATGCTCTGCTTGGAGGTGCTTCTCAACTGCTGGCTATAGTAATTGGGCAGCCAGGATTGAGAACAGGTGGGATCATCAGGCAGCCCATTAGAGCAAACTCTTGCTTCTCCAGCCTAATGGCAGAAAAGTTGGCTCCAAATTAGAATGGTGAATTTTAGAGCCCTTTAAAAATTAATCCTGTCATTACTCTCAGCTCATAGACTAGGAACTTGACATGAATAGACCCCTTGGGCATCTGTACAGATGAATAGAGAGAGTGTATTCTAGTTTGCATGTCTGTTCATGTGCAAGGAGATGATTCTAGGTTTCCAAAGTATTTCACTGTATATAATAGCATTTATTTTCTTCGTGCAGTTTTATTTACACCTGTTTCATAAATAGTACATAAGTAGGATCCAGACAACAGGAGTCTAATGCTGGTCAGAAGTGTCTGTGTCCTGCAGACCCATAGACAGCAATGAAAGAAAGGATATGAGTTTTGCACCTGGAAGCTACCACATGCTGGCATTGCCACTGCCTTATTATTTCCAAATGAGGGGCATATATAGACAGTGAACCACCTTCTGTTCTGAATATCAGTTGTATAGTGGCAATGCTACCTTGTGTGGCCATGTCTTTATATTCTTGTCTCTCTTGGGAAGAGTCAGGGTGTTACCATAGGAGGGGCAGTGCTCTGATTTCAGGGGCAGGGCCCACTTTACAGAGCCTGCACCCTGAGAGCCCAACCCCAAGGAGCCTCTCTTAATAAAGGATCTGGGGCCAGCTCCCTCTCTGTGCATGACTGACCACACTGTCTCCTTCCTGCCCCAGTGACTGCCTAGCCCTGCTGCAGGTCCGTGCCATCCTGCACCACTTGGGGCTTGAAAGCACCTGTGATGACAGCATCATTGTCAAGGAGGTGTGCACTGTGGTGGCGCGGCGGGCTGCCCAGCTCTGTGGCGCAGGCATGGCTGCCGTGGTGGACAAGATACGAGAAAATCGTGGGCTGGACACCCTGAAAGTGACAGTGGGTGTGGATGGGACCCTCTACAAGCTACATCCTCAGTGAGTACCTGGCCCTGGCCTACTCTACTCTCTCTTCCCTTCTCCCATTCTTTCTTAACTTTATATAAATTTTCAGCCATTCCAAAGAGTGTTTGATGTTTACAGTTTGAAAATTAACAATCAGAAGCAGGCCTATGTTTCATCCCCAGCACTGGAAGCCTCGTCGTGTGCCCTCCCATATTTACACTCCTTTCTCCTGCCAGGGACCAGAGCTGGGTTGAATCAGTCTCTTGCTTTAATTTTCCCATGTACCTAGGTATAAATCTCTGTGAATGGAATCACATGGCACCTTTTCTCTGACTTTTCTCACATACCGCATGTATGATTAAAAAAAGTATTTTCCCTTCCTTCCTCCCTCTCTCCCTTTACCTTCCTTCCTTCTTCCCTCCTCCTTCCCTCCTCCTCCTCCCCGCTCTCTCTTTTCTCTTCCTCTCTTTCCCTTCCTTCTTTGTCCTTTCCTTTCTTCCTTCATTCAGGGTGATGTGTCCCTACGTTGCTCAGGCTAGCCTCACAGATCCCAAGTTTAAGCAATCCTTCTGCCTCAGCCTCCCAAGTAGCTGGGATTATAGGTGTGCATCACCGTGCTCAGCTTGTATTTATGGTTTTGTGAGGTATCCACATTGAAATGTGCAGTTACAGTTCATTAATTTTGGATATCATAGCTTTGTATGAGTATGTTATTTCATCTGTTGATGTGATGTTTGGATCATTTCTAGATTTTGACTATTTCAGTACTGCTGTGAATATCTAGTAAACATACACTAGGACCTCAAGCAAGACATTTTTCTATGGTCTAAAGCAGAGATTGGCAAGTAATGCCACTGACTGCTTTTGTAAATATAGTTTTATTGGAATGCAGCCACACCCAAGTGAGTCTGTACTGGCAACGGCTGCTCTCACAGGAAGAGTAATTGCAACGGACCACTTGGTCTGCAATGCTGAAAGTATTTGCTGCTTGCTCCTTTGTTGAGAGTTTGCCATCTTTCGCTATGTAAATACCAAATTTCATTTTCATCCTACTTTCCTTCTCCTTTCTCTCTCCCATCACCATTTTGCTTTTCTTCTTCCCTCCCTTGTGTATGTTTTACATAATTTGTTTAAAAGTCAAGAAGAGTCCTAAACACTCTCCCTGGAAACTTTTCAGATAGAAGTTAAAGGGGTAGACCTGTGCCCTAGCCTGGTAGCATGCGCAGGATGGAGGGGAGGACAAAGAGTCCTGGATTGAACAATGACCTGCACTCCTTGTGTGTGTTGGTTAAAGAGGGGATCATGGAAGATCCAAGTCCCTTTCCTTGATGATCAGTAATATTGTAAAAATAGCCTGGGCTCCAGATATGAGTTGGGAGATGGACTGTGTTAGTCAGCTTTCTGTAACTGTAGTAAAAGACCTGAGATAATCAGCATATAAAGAGAAAATATTTATTTAGAGGTTTCAAACCATGATTGGTTGGCCCTGTTGCTTTTCAGCCTGTAGAAAAGCAGCACACCACGGCAGGAGAGTATGTGGAGTAAAACTGCATACCTTGTAACTGGAAAGTAAAAAAGAGAAAGAAAGACAAGGTCCCACAGTTCCTTCCATGGGCACTCAACCAGTGGCCTAAATACCTCCCAACTCTTAAATGTTCTCGTATCTCCCCATAGTACCAAACTGGAGACCAACCCTTTCACACATTGGCTTTTGGGGGAACATTTCAGATCCAAACTATGGCAGGGATGGAATAAAACTAGCTAGCAGCCCTAGAGCTTGGTGTCTTCTTCTTCACAGATGGTAGGGCCTCTAGACCCTGCTGTGTGGGGTTGAATAGTGACTGCTCTTTTTCAAGTCCCATATAGAGAAAATCTGTGATCACTCTAATGTCCTAAGAGCAACCCTATACATCTGCCCTCCCCTAAGAGTAGGAAAATCTATTGGGGAATAGGATTGGGAATAGTAATAGGGAATAAGAATAGCTCCCAAGAGAAAGGAGGGGTCCCAAATGGTTGCCCCATCTTCCCTTTTTGTTTTCAGTTGTGTTTTAGAGTAGATGTGGGTTTAATGTGAAACCTTACCCTAGGACAATATAAAACCACACCTGAGGGTCTTGGTGCCCCCTGCAGAGTTTATAAACAGCAAGGCATGTATGTGGCTTATGACTTTCTCACTGATTATTATTATTATATTTTTGGTACTGGGAATTAAACTCAGGACCTTATGTTTGCCAGGCAGGCGCACTGCTGCTGAGTTAATCCCCATCCCTCTCTCAGACTAATTTTAAGAGCAGAATTCACTGAAGGCATTTATCTCATGGTTGAATCTTTTTTTTTTTAATTAAATTCTTTTATTGGTACATTGTAGGTATACAACACAATTACATTTCTCATTGGGAATTGTACCTTTACATAA